CTCTCTCTCTCTCTCTCTCTCTCTCTCCCTCCAACGGGCAGCAGGGGCGGGCGCCTTGAAATTGCTCGGGCCTGTGTGAAACCCGCCACCCCAGAAACCTGCAGTGTCTTGTGTCCGGACCTCTAGGCCCTGTCCGGTGGAGTGAAATGACACTGAAAAATCACCCTGTTATTTTTCGAGGGGCGGCCAGGACCAGGAAAAAAAAAAAAAACTGTGTCCAACTGTTTCTCAAACAGGTCCTTATGGTCCTGGCTCCATATCCATTCTGGGGAGCGTCAGTCCGGTTCCTATTCCACTGGCAAGTCAGAATAAAATATTACATCATGTACACCCTCACGCTTCCTTCCGTCTGGCCGAAGGATCCCTCACCAGCATTGATTGCTCGGATACCGGAGGATCCCCTACTGATATTTTTATTGTTTTCTGATAGAAGCTACATAATAATGCTTTTCTGTAACAGATTGCAGGTCTTTGTTTAATATTTTATTAAATTTGTTCGTTCGTTCTATCTTCTTATTATCATAAATTACTAGGCTACCAGAATAGCCCCCGACCACTTGGCCGGCCAGGCCAAAAAATATATACTAAACATTTTTTTTTTTTTATTATTATTTTTTTAATTTGGTAAAGAATATGGATGTAACCCTGAGGCAAAAGTTGTTCAGTTTATTTTCCCCTGGTCCTCGCACGGCCGGGCCGCCCAGGAAAACAAGGTGACCCGGGAGGCCTGGCTGGTAGCCTAGATAAATTACGTATATCGTCAAACATAACTGCGCAGTAATCCGTAGGCAGAAAGAGAGAGAAGAGGACAAAAACAAAAGAGGGGCTGTGACCGACTGTTTTATTGGAGTTTCACCGACTCATCAGGAGGCCGGACTTTATACAGTCCGCAGAGTCTCTGAACCGATGACACTGAAAGTGATATTCCACCTCAACCCCGGTTGTGGTTAAACCACAAGCACACCCGCACCTGATTTAAACGAACCTGAATTTCACTGCGCACCGAGTTTTGTCGAGCCTGGGTGCGGTTGTATTTTCTTTTCTCATACTCCTCCCAAAAGAACAACATGAAAAAGAAAAAAGAACTAAAAAAAAAAAAAAAATGCCACAACGCTATGGACGAGAAAGCAGTTGGATACAGAATCAGGGGTCAGTGTGAGAGTATGCCCTCCCTCAGTGATGGCGTTTACAGCTCCGCGTTCATCACGGACATTACTTTCAGAAATGAAAAGCAAAAAAAAAAAAAAAAGGAGCCCCAATATGGACGTGAAACCGGTTAGATACAGAATCTGAGTATATGCCCTCTTTGAGAAGTTGTCAGAAGTCCGTGCAGTGTTCCCTGCCCCGCGTTCATCACGGAGGTTCCTTTCAGAAATGAAAAACAAAACAAAAAAAAACAAAAAAAAAAACAATACGGACGCGAAACAGGTCAGATACAGAATCCGAGTATATGCCCTCTTTGACAAGTCTTCAGAAGTCCGTGCAGTGGTCCCTGCCTCGCTGGCAGGGACCCGAAAAGAAAACAGAAGAAGAAACAAAACAACGAAAAAAAAAAAAGTTGAAAAAAAACATGGCTACGATCCGGACGTCCGCACCGCCGTCCAGACGGTCCGGAATCCGGACGTCCAGTCCAGACGGTCCGGATCTGCCAAATTTCGAGGAAAAAAAAAAACACGGTCCAGGACCCTTCCCCATTGAGGAGCCAAGTTTTCAGGCCCGTTTATGCTTTTTTGGGGGGTCCGGACATGCTCTCTCTCTATAATAATTTATTAGACAACCCCAAGTTTTTAATTATGAATAATTCATTACCTTTTATTAGTTTTTTTAACTTTCTTTAAGTCTTTTTTAAGCTTTTTATAGTTTTTGACTTTTAACTCAAGTTTGTTTAGGAATTCTGACATGACTCTGAGGCAAAAGTGGTTTGCATTGTTATTCTGCATAACATACTTTTTTTTCAGATTTTTTTTTTTTTTTAATGGTCCGGACATTTTCCGGACCTGTCCAGACATCCGGACCGATCCCCCCATGTCCGGAGGTCCGGAAATGTCCGGAATTCCGGACGTCCGGAAACTACCGGAAACGGGTCCGGTTCCATGTCCGGAAATGTCCGGGTCCGGGTCCAGCGTAGCCATGAAAAAAACTAATACAATCCATAGGGGCGGTTAGATTCGTTCCTGAGTGTTGTAGTGTGAGCACACCTTTCTTCAGGGCCTTCCCGGGCATCGTTCCTCAATTTGCAGTTTTTTTTTTTTTTTTTTTTTTTTTTTTTTGTGCTGCAGTTTCTTATTCTTTTTTTCTTGTGTGCCGACCCTGCCCCGACCCCCGATCTTTTCGGAAAGAGTCATTGTCAATGAATTTCTTTTGCCTGGGCGGTGTACTTGTGGTTTCAGCATCACCGACTGTCCGACAACTGATACCCTGAGGTGGGCACCAACCACTGCCCTCAAGGTACCTGTGATGAATGAAACTCAAAGCAGACTATCACTAACCCACACCAAACGGAAAGCTCCACAGAGTACAGGTTCACACACCATTACATTATGTCAGGCAAATGATCTTCTAGCAGGTTGGGGATTGTGGTCCATTAGGTGTCCAATTCATTCCATAGCAAGAACACAAAACCCACCTGCTCGAACTGCTCGTCAAGCAACCTCTTTGGCCTCTCCTTTGCAGACGTGGTATAGCGAGGAGTTCCCTGCAATTCCTCATGGTCATCGCCGTCATCACCATCATCATTATCGCCATATCCACCCCCATCATCAAACTCATTCTCGTCCTCATCGTCCGCCTCATGACGCTTAGCGGCACTTTTGTCCCTTCTGAGCCCATTTCTTTCAACAGGCTGTTTACTTCGCCGTTTGTCTCCCATCTCGCCTTCCACTGCCTCACTGCCCCCTTGGGCTTCCTCGACCGACTGACTCATCTCCCCATCCTCGTTGGCCATAGCAACAAAATCATCTTCCAAGTCATCTCCTCCTTCAGCATCATCATCTGCTCCCTCTGCTTCATCTTCAGTGCTCTCCAAGGCTGCCAATACGTCTGGGTCTATGGCCCTTGGCGGCACACCTCCCACACAACGAATCTCCCTCGTTCTCTTGCTCAGTGAGTCCATCTCAGCCATCAACAACCCTTGCTCCACAGCCTGCTGATCAGCAACCACACCGCTGACTCGGACAGCTGATGAATCGAATGCCTGTACAAAAACAGGGAAAGGTAGAAAACGAGGTCAAAATCTTCTGTTTTTTTTTTTTTGTTTGTTTCCTGAAAACCGGTGGCCTCTGTTAGGCGGGGTGAAAATGAGGCGAGAATCGAAGTTGTTGACCTTATTAAATTATTAAAATCCATGGCCGTCGGTCAAATTATTCCGCCACTTCGAAGAGGGGTACAAAAAGTGCAGATGCAAAAAAAATGCGCATGAAAAAGATGTCACAGGCCTGCAATTACTGGTGTCAGCCAACTGTCCTTCTGGACACCCACTAAACTTGCGACGACGATACCGAGAAAATTAGCATGGCCCCTGCTGCACAAGCACGACTCACAATTTGAGAAATGTTCCTGAGGGGAAAAAAAAATAAAAAAAAATCACATGCCTGGGGCACCGCCAGTCATTTTGGTCCTGTGACCCGGAAGCTCTAAAATTGTGGCTAATATAGTAATATATATTTGCCCAGCTATTCATTTTGCCTGGGGCGTAAAGTAATGTTGTTGTTTTTTTTTTTTTTTTTTTTTTTTTTTTTTTTTAAGTGCGTTAGGTGTTTGTCCTGTCACCATATCAATGAAAATATTGCGCACATTCGCTATCTTGGGTAACTTCTCAAGTTATCAACCCAATCAATTCGGTAAGTTTGACGTCGTAGCCCTGATCGTTGTGCAGCCACCAGACAGAATCAAACCGGTGACCTCGGCTATAACAGCCAGATGCCTTTACCACTGCAACTGTGACCCGGTGTTCGAAACTGAGGGCCACAGGATTTTGATTTGAGGCAACATTTATTTATTTATCTATTTGTTTATTTATTTATTTATTTGTTGTTCTATTTTTGTCTGTTCCAGGCTTGCAGTGCGTCCAAACAGACACCCAGCCTGTTCGGACCAAGGTCACGTTTTGGGCCTTCTCCATTTGTGGCCAGGCCCTTTCGGGCCAGGTTCGTTTTCGTCCAGTAGCAGACACTCCCTGCTGCATCACGATCTTGGCCTTCTCCCTCATCTCCATCTTCATCTCGCCTCCTCCCCCATCTCCTCATCCATGGTATCTCCCCATCGCGATGTAGGCACTAGGCATTGCCTTCCGCACTTTGGTAACATACGATTGTGTATTTAGACTGGTGGACGGTTCAAACCTGCTGCCGGACAGTGCCTTGGTTCGATTTGATTGTTTTTGCTTTGCTTTCTGTTTTGTAGTTCGTGGAATGAGAGTGGTTTCGCTGACAAGGTAAGGACTTGTCCCCTGGCCCGGGACAGCACCCGCTTGGATTTGCTTTGGCCCATTTTTTCTTTTTCTTTTTTTTTCCCTTTCTTTGGGACCTAAGCCTGGGTTTGGCTTTGTGTGGATTGACTTTCCGGGCCTCGGGCCTGAGGCCGCAGGATGGACCGGTAGTACTAGTGGAACTTACTGTTACTGATGGACTCTGAACTGACCCTGAATGATTGAAGGAGCATTAGTCCCCTCTCACTTGCGCTATCTTAGCACAGGTAGGGTTAAGTGGTTAGTCTTGGGGTCAGAGTTCATAGTCATTCTATTTATCGAAATGATTTATGTAGGGTTAAGTGGATCTTGGGGTTGACGGCTTGATGAGGTGGAATAGTGCTTCACTTTAATGTGTTTCAATCATTTCGATACGCTTGGTGTGTGTACACCTTGTGTGAACGCGCCTCGAGTCCATCTGATTCTTGCAACAAGATACGCTTGGTGTGTGTACACCTTGTGTGAACGCGCCTCGAGTCCATCTGATTCTTGCAACAAAATCACACTCGGGCAACAAACTCACGCAAACTCGCGCACCAAGTTTCAAAGGGGCAAAAAAAAAACAATTTTACCTATCCCACATTTGGGTGTGACTGGCCCCACATGTGGATCAGTCTTGAACGTGGCCTTTTTTCCCCCCCTTTCAAACTTGGTGCGCGAGCCGAGTTTGTTGCCCACGTGTGATTTTGTTGCCCTTTCCAAACTCGTTTGTGCCACAACCGAACTTACCCCTTTTCTTTTAACCAACAGCAACATTTGAGTAGCAGAACAGACGAATCCAGGCAGGAGGACCTCACAATTCAACCCGGAGTTATCCTGGGTGCATTACCCACTTTCGCTTAACGGAATCAGATTCTGATATATCCCATAGTTCCAACAGTAAAGCAAACCTCTGCATTTTTGTGAAAAAAAAAATAAAAAAAATCGACTTCTATCAAGAGCAAAGCTGACCTATCTAGAAGAAACGTACCATTTTGTTGCCCGCCGAGTTTTAAAAGGGCACCAAGCTCGCGCGCCGAGTTTGAAAAGGGCAACAAATTCACACGTGGGCCACCACAGCCATTTTTACCGATATCGCCCTTTTTCAAACTCTGCACCCGATTTCCTTGCCCGCACACATTTTTTTTCCCCTTTCGAAAAACTCAGAGTGTGACACTGCCGGACTTGTTTCAGAAAAAAAAAAAAAACAAAAAAAAAAAACAATGAATGCTGAGGAAGGGTCCGCAAACTTTTGTCACGCCTGATAGCAATGAGACAGTGCATACCATACTTTTAACCTCCTTTTTTTTTTTTTTTTTGGGGGGGGGGGGGGGGGGGGAGGGAAAGGGAGCCGTGCCCCAGGATCACTGCCCATGGTGGTAAGAGCAGCAGACCCCCCGGTAGTACCCATGGACAAGGGTTCCAATCTATTGGCGGGGTCTGGAAATAAAGAGTGTGAGTTAGTTGCCATATTCTTGAGCCAGTTTGGGTCCTGAATTAAAAGAGTGTGAGTTGGCATATTCTGGGACGCTGGACCCCGGGGGCTAGGTCCCACTTGCACGAATTAAGAGATACTGACCGTAGATAGCAAAGATCAACGGCCGACATCTCCTAATTTGCGCAAGTGGGACACTGGACCCCGGTTCCAATCTATTGGCAGGGCCGCAGCGCCTGGTAGGAAACCGGGTCCAGCATTCCCTGAATATGCCAACTCACACTCTTTTAATGCAGGACCCAAACTGGCTCTCTTTTGATAAGCTCACCGCGTCACGCAGCTATGATAGAAAAGTTCTTTTAGCAAATTTCTTGTCGTAACCCTCGCCAATCCTAAGGACCAACACACGATCGAATTCAGACCGATCAACACAAGACCAAGTTCAGACGGATCCACACAACACTGCGTTCAGACTGCATGTGTTTGATTGGGCTTCGCCAATCCAAGGACCAACGCAAGGCTGTGTTCACACCTATCACTACAAGACTGCATTCAGACCGATCAACACAAGACCAGGTTCAAGACTGATCCACACAACACTACGTTCAGACTGCATGTGTTTGATTGGGCTTCGCCAATCCAAGGACCAACGCAAGGCTGTGTTCGCACCTATCAATACAAGACTGCATTCAGACCGATCAACACAAGACCAAGTTCAAGACTGATCCACACAACACTGCATTCAGACCGACGCGTTCAGACTGCATGTGTTGATCGGTCTGAACCAGTGATCTTGTGCTGATTTAGTCTTTAACTGTGTTTTCGTTAAAATTGAGTCTTTTTTAAACTTTTTTTCCCATTTCGCAATTTGTACTTGAGTGACCTAAACTGCGTTCAGACTGACGCGTTCAGACCGCATGTGTTGATCGGTCTGAACCCAGTGGTCTTGTGCTGATTTAGTGTTTAACTGTGTTTTCATTAAAATTGAGTTTTTTTTTAACTTTTTTTTCCCATTTCGCAATTTGTACTTGAGTGATCTAAAGAGGTCGTTTGGCCTATCAGGTACGGCCCATTTTTTGGGATGAGTGATCATCCATGAGAGTCATGATGAGACTACCACTCATCCTACAATAAGAAAGTCATTGGACACAGTCTAAACGACCTCTTCAGGTCACTCAAGCACGAATTGCAAAACCGAAAAAGAAAAAAAAAACTCAATTTTTACGAAAAAACACAGTTCTCTGATCAGAGTCTTCACACCTGTGTTGATCGGTCTGAATGCAGTCTTGTGGGATTGCCCGGTCTGTCTGAACACACAGTGTTGTGTTGAGCAACGCTGTCTTGTGTGTTGATCAGTCTGAACGCACTCTTGTCTTGAGACCTGTGCTGATCGGTCTGAACGCATTCTTGTCTTGATCGTCTAAAGGTTCTGCATTTTCATTGTTTTTTTTTGTTTTTTTTTTCTCTTCCTTTCCCTTCTCCTTAAAAAAGGGCGACAGGCTTGAGATATCATCATTGAGCTGACCGGCCCCAGTTCATCTGATGGTGAGTGAATTCGAACTAGGGGTCTGTATTTCAACAGTTCATGGGTGTGGTCCCCACTGAGCTAGGCCAGTTGGTGGTGCATTGTCATTGTTATAGCATTCAAACCCCGTTAGTCTATAGATAATCAAAGTTTTCGTTCCTTCTTTGCTACCACAGGTGTAAGACAAGAGCAACCAAGTGTGCAGAACTTTGGTCTAATCTTACTTTTCGTTCCTTCTTTGCTACCACAGCTGTAAGACAAGAGCAACCAAAGGGTGAAGAACTTGGTCTCATCTTCGTTTTCGTTCCTTCTTTGCTACCACARCTGTAAGACAAGAGCAACCAAAGGGTGAAGAACTTGGTCTCATCTTCGTTTTCGTTCCTTCTTTGCTACCACAGCTGTAAGACAAGAGCAACCCAAAGGGTGAAGAACTTGCTCTAATCTTCGTTTTCGTTCCTTCTTTGCTACCACAGGTGTAAGACGAGCAAAAGGATGAAGAACTCGGTTTAATCGGACCTTTAGCAGCAAATTCTCATAGCAAATTCTCATTGCAAATTCTCATAGCAAATTCTCACAGTCGTTCGTAACTCTTAAGAGTCTATTTATAGGAGGCTGTGCTATTTCTGCAACAGGGGCAGCGTCCTCTGTCGGCAAAAGGGATGAACGATAGCGGGCCTCCAAAGAAATTGGGGCTGCTAGGGATGTTCGGCCAGTACACACAACGAGAGGGCAAAGGAAGGAAACACTTGAAAAAAAAAAAAAAAAAAAAAAAAAAAACACTTTCGTGACGTGACCTGCGCATGTGAGTTCATGGCCCTTTTTTCTTTTTTTCCCTCCGTCAGTAATTAACTATTCCCTCCGCCAGTAATTAATTATCACCCTCTCAACAATTCGTTCATTCACCCAAAAATAAAATAAAATAGCTCATTTCGCCCATTCACCCATTGAATTTCAGCTCGTCGAGTGAATTTGATCATGAATTCGATTCTTCCCAGCCAAGCTGCCCTATCGTATTCCCCCGAATAGAACGCCCGGTCTTTATCGCTGTATCTAGACTGAAACTTGCCCAAAATACAGCTGCTAGAATGACAGTGCGCACTATTTGGGGGAAGACGCCAGCGTGGGCTGCGTTCTCTGCTCAGCACTCGCCCGCGCCCTGAAGACCAATCGGTATCATTCATCCTCTCCATTTATCCATTTATAAATGGATAATAATCTAAATGGATAATGTAAATGCATAATCCATTTATAAATGGATAATCTAAATGGATAATCCATTTGTAAATGGATGGATAAGGTTCAAATCCCCCGCCCTAAATCTGCTGCCTGAGCAGTCCTCCGGTCCAAGAGACCCCCGCCTGCAGGACCGCTGCCTGCAGGGTTTCTATATCTTCTTCTTCTTCTTCTTCTTCTTCTTCTGCTGCTGCTGCTGCTGCTGCTTCTACTTCTTTCTTCGTCTGCTTGTACTTCTTCTTTCTTCTTCTTTTTCTTCTTCTACTTCTGCTTCTTCTGCTTCTTCTTCTTCTTCTTTTTCTTCTTCTTCTTCTGCTGCTGCTGCTTCTACTTCTTCTTCTTCTTCTTTCTTCTGCTGCTTCTGCTCCGTCTTCTTCTTTCTTTTTTCTTCATCTCCCTCCTTCTTCTTCTTCTTCTTTCTTCTTCAGCTCCCTCTCCTTCTTAACTGGATGCTAATTAATGAAAACTTAAACGAGAAACAAGAAATAATTTATATACGGAACGAGATCGTCCTGTCAAAATACATGGATTTCTCACTTCCGATAATGTCTTTTGACCTATTTATTTATTATACATAGAATACTGCGTAAACGTGTTCTTTCTGCAGGAACACACCTGGAGCTTCTGCAGGCGTTCTCAAAAGAACAAGAGGAGGGAGCAGATTCATAAGCGCCATTTCAAAAGGTAACTGGGGAGGAGGTACCGTGGAGAACACGTCATGCGGACACCACAACAGGCAGCCCCCCTCTCCCTCACGCTATTCGAGGACGGCTGCATATACCCGTCGCTGGGCAAATTACAGTATAACTGAAGCTCACACAATTATGATGATGACAATAGAGATACGATAACCATAACAACGACGATGACGGTGATGACAAAGACAAGGGAAGCTGATGAGGAAGATAACAGATACATACGAACATCATCATCATCATCATCATCATCATCATCATGATCATGAAGATGAAGATGATGAAGGTACATAGGATCATCATCATGAAGATGAAGATGATGAAGATGATAAAGGTCCATAGGATCATCATTATCATCAACATAATGAAGAGTAAGATGATGAAGATCGTCATCATCATGAAGATCAAGATGATGAAAATGATGAAGATCACGATGATGGAAATGATGGAGATCAAGAAATGGTCATTATGACGATGATCATGATGATCATGATGATGATGATGATGATGATGATGATGATAACACAGATGTTGATGTTAATGATGATGATGATGATGATGATAACGCAGATGAAGATGATGTTAATGATGATGATGATGATGATGACAACGCAGATGAAGATGTTGATGTTAATGATGATGACGATAATGATGATAACGCAGATGAAGATGATGTTAATGATGATGATGACGACGATGTGCGGCCAACTTGACCACAAACGCTTCAAAGAGAGTCAGAGAGACCTTCCACAACTGAAGACGAACAACAACAGGAACACGAAAGCCGAGTAAGCCGAGAACCCCGTCGAGTGCGGATGAACCACGGCCGTGCAGAACGCGATAGAAAGAGGAAAGGATGGAGGAGGGGAAGAAGGGACGAAAGGAAGAACGCAAAGAGGAACGAAAGAAGGGAGGGAAGGAGGAACGGAAGGAGGAACGAAAGGAGAAATGGAGGGGAGGAACGCAAGGAGGAACGCGAGGAGGAACACAAGGAGGAACGAAAGGAGAAGTGGAGGGGAGGAACGCGAGGACGAACTATGAGAGGAACGGAGCATCAGAGCGAGGAACGGTAGCAGGATAGACGAAGGGTACCCGTCTTCACCCGAATACAACGTACGGTCATTACTGCTGTAACTGGACTCAAAGCTGGCCCAAGTGCTGCTATAATAACCGTATGTGGGTAAAGAGGGGTAGGAGGAACCGGGGGGAGGTAGGACCAGGACAAGAGAGCTATGGAGAACGCAAGAGAGACAGAGTGTCAGCAGCAAACATGGAAGATACTAAGTGGGCGGCGTCCGGCGTTCATGCCACATTTTGGCGGCGACGACCACCAGTTTGGTTGTTTTCTCTGCAACATTTTCCCATTTTTCATTCAGAAAAAATAGTAAAAATGTCTTTATTATTTTTATATTTTTACACTACTGCCATTGTCGAATTATTAACTCGGTTCAGACAAGACCAGAGAGTTCCGCCGCCGCTCGGAATAACTGTAGTAGCTTGCTTGCTATCCTGCAATGCGTAGGACAGTGATCGAGTACAGCCGTCGACGTCCCACCCAATCCCGATCCCGATCCTGATCCCGAACCCCATACGGCTGATATGATGACACTCACATAAGCCTGACTCGCGTGACAGTGGGTGACAGTGAGTGACAGTCTGACACACTGACCTTGACGTCTGGAGGCAGCTGGAGACGCGGCTTCGCGGCCGGGATGAAAGTGGCGCCGCCACCCGATCCCGACCCTGCTGCACTCCTGATCCTCCGAAGATGCTTCGTGTAATCGTATCCGTCATCCGGAAATCCCATTTCCAGAATCTCCCTCCTCATCTCCTCCGACAGTCCGTGTCCCGATCCTGATCCCAATTGCCCGCCATGCCCACGGAGTGACAGTACTGCCGCGCCGGCCTGCTTCGTCAACGTCCTGCCCTTCGCGCCCGCAAGCTCGTCCTTCCTCGCTCCGTTTCCCTTTCCCAGTCCCTCCTCCTCCTCCTCCTCCTCATCGTCCTCCTCCGCATCCATGAATCTGGAATCGTCGTCGTCTTCCTCTTCACCATTGTCTCCACCATAGCCGCCGCCATCGCCGCCCTCCGCCGCTTTCTGCTTGGCTGCAACTTCTTCTTCCCCACGTTCCGATCCCGACGCTCCCCGCTCCCTGGTCGGGATCCCCGCTCTCCACACAGCAGCACCTGCTCCGAGACGAGCTTGAGGGTCTTCTTCCGTGAAACCCGGCACGTAACCGGTTCCACGATCAATACGTGTGAACACACGATCGCTCTGCTCGATCAACGGATCGGATGAATCTCGAAAGACCAGAGCGAAAGTCGCAGATTTCTTCTTGTCGATGAACTTTTTCTTCCCCATCCTGTCCCTCTTCTCACCCTTCTGTTCCTCCTCTCCTCGTCGTCCTCCCCCCGCGCTCCCCCAATTTCCACCCCCGCGCCTCCTCTTCTTCTTCCTCCTCCTCCGCTTTTCTTACCAGCCGCGCCACAAGGGACATAGCCCGATCGTCCGCGTGACAGGCTGCGGCATCCCCTGGTCTCGCGCTTGTCCTGTCTCTTCCACGGAGACGGCGATGGCTTGCGGATCGCAGAGAATTGACAACAAGACCCTACCCGTCTGGGACGCGACTGCTTTACCAGGATTCTGCATTACTGGCCGTTGATATGAGGTCAAAAACCAGGGACTCCGATATCGGGGACATCGCCCCTGGCTTCTTCAGTTTCTGACCGTAGATCAGGCACGCCGATGGCCCGACACGAAGAATCCTGATAAATGGGATCTCGAACGGCCCACTGTCCCAGAACATGGGCCTCGTTCCACACCACTTCACTTGAAACTCGAGTAAGCGCTCGAGTTCCGATGGTGATTAAAAAATTAAAAAATACCTGAGTCACGTTTAGTTCCACTCAACCCTCGAGTCCGCCCTTGAAATGAGCGGGAGTGGTGCTGCAATAGCTCAACCAGACCCGCATGGGCCGTGTAGTTAGTTGGGCAGGCGTTGGGCGGCGCATGATGGCCCCGGATCGGACGTGCACACCATCAACCCGCCCGAATGTGAGAAGAGCGCGCGGGTTCCGAATCTTTCCGACGTTTGTTGTTTTGGTGGAAAAGTCCATGATTTCACTGCCACTTTGAAGTTATGGAGGGAAGTTGGTGCCAGCGCATCAGTCATAACAAATCGCGCAGACAAGAACGAGGGCCGTAGGTACTCCTCACTGATCGAACGCGCGGTCGATGGAACGTTCCAAGCATGACATTTGCGTTGGGCATGTGACGACACTAACGTCTCTGGTGGGGGGAGGGGAGGGGGAGGGGACGGGTTGAACGGGGAGCCTTTGTTAAACACAAATTGATAATGGAAAACATCGCTACCACTATCCAAACATTAGAGATTATTTCCGCGGAGATACGGGATGTCGCAATTTTACTCTTGCATATGGAAAAGGCGTATGATAAAGTTGGGTGGGCCTCTGTAATAACAACGCTAAGACATATGGGATTTGGAGAAAAAAATTGTAAATGGGTTGCGGTAATGTATTCCACTGCGACAGCGTCAATCATGGTGAACGGGCAGATTTCTCAAGAGTTTTATCTGACCAGGTCACTCCGCCAGGGCTGTCCCCTAGCCCCCCCTCCTGTTTGTCATCCATTTAGAGGTGCTCTTGAGCAGCATACGTCATAATGATAATATTGAGGGACTGAGACTTACAAACCATCAAGAATGGAAAGGAAGTGCCCTGGCCGATGACCTGATCTTAGCATGTAAGAATACTAAACCTAATTTAGTAAATCTCAGGAAACTACTCAATGTACATTGTGAGTTATTTGAGGCCTCTATTAATTGGAGTAAGTCAATGTTTTTCCTCCCTGATGAGTTTCAATTGAAAGTGGACGAGGGATTGAAGGCGATACCTGCAAACTCATCGTAACGGTTTTGGGGAGTTCAAGCATCTCTGACTAATAATGAGATGTTTCAAAACAATCTGTTAGAAGAAAAGTTGGAGAACAGGTTCTCAAGCAGGAAGTACACAAGACACTTGTCTTTGATGGGCAAAGCCCTTGTGATCTTTTCGGCAGGATTCTCGGTCATGTGGTTTACCCTCGCAGTGCATATTATGGGTGATGCAACGTATAAGAGCATAAAAAATGCAGCGACTAAGTTCATGTGGACACCAAAAGCAGATAAAGAAGAAGGGTTCATGACTGAGGTCGCATGGGAGACAGTCACTGTGACCTTCCCACGATCTGAAGGGGGTCTGGGCCAACTTGACCCACAGCGACTAAACCTGACTCAGATAGCCAAGTGATGTATTAAAACACTTTTGGAAGAGAGCAGGCCGCCATAGTTGGCAATGACCCTTTACATCTTGACCAAAGAGCGGTCTCTGAGCCGTGAGGGAGATGTATTAGCATGCCTGTTAATTATTACGCCACATAATGATAAGAAACCAAAGTCAGTGTTTTGGAGAAATATTATGCATGCATGACACAAACTCTTCCTTTCGGAAAGACTGCACCCTAATACAAAGGACTCAGTGCTAAATCATATTTTGTTTGAAAACCCGTTGATGTTAGATCCGGATGGATAGGAATTTTCAGCCTATGATTCAACTGGTCACTTTGGTAAATCATGGGTAGAAAGGGGAGTGGTTAGATTGAACGACATTTGGAATGAGGAAACAAAATCATGGAGGACGGAACAATAAATAAAAATTAGCCTGGGCGGGCTGAGAAAAGTTGGGAGGAGACTGCACGCATTGATAAACGATATTCCTTGGTCATGGAAACAAATGTTAACAGAGAACAAAATTCTTGATACTGGACTATGATGCCATAACTTCACAGATGGAACAAACTTTATCTACCAAGTTACAGAAGAGCTTGGGGCCAAGAGCTATGCTGCGAAAAAGTGGGACGTGCAAGATACTTTCGGGTACTCCAAGGAGTTGTCCTCCTCCACAATTGTGAGGTTAGACTCTCTGGAACGCCTATCGGAGATAGCAGCCAGACTTAAAACCAGAAATGCATAGGCTAGTGGTAAACTAATCTACATTGTTGTTCTTCCTATGGGAGTCCAGATGGTAAAGTCATCTGCAGTAGACTTCCGGGCTGTAGGTTGGTCCCTAGGCCATCAGACTATCATATTAGATCAATATAGTTCAAAGGTGGGAACGAGTCTACTGAAATCCAAAGTAAAAAAACAGCCAAACCACTAGCAGTCTGTTATTGAACGAAGGCAAAAGTTTGACTTGCTGATCATCTCTACGACTCAGTTAAACTCGATATGGCAACAACTTCGTAGACGACCCTCACAAAGGACAGCCAGTCCGCTTTGGTTTCAGACCTTTTCAACATCATCATCGGCAGTGAATTTGGTCCAAAGAAATATGACGATCTCACAGATATGTGTATGATGCAAATGGATCTGCAAAAACGACCGTCATCAATGGTTAACCTGTCCAGCATCCCGAAGAATATAGGATTGGTTCATTTAGCATTGGAATAGGTTCACAGGAAAAACCTTCGAGCGGCCAGATGAATGAACTATCTCAGAAACACACAAAGGAGACAAACAGAAAGAGGAAAATTGACTCTATGCTGCTCAAGCAATAAGGGAAATTATTTTAAAATTGGTATGGGAGGACATAAATAACCAGTTTTTCCGCAGAGAGTTTATCTCGGATGTTGCAGTAAGGATACTGATTATACAAGAGATTCAATATACAATTACAAACGATTGGACCAGACATAGAAAAATAATGACGGGCATGACCTCGGTTAGGAAATGGTTTGAAAAGACATGGGGAAAAGATTGTAGTCTTGCTAGGCTATATTCTATAGGCAGACCTCGGTTTTGTCCTTGGTTGTTATCCCCCCTGGGGTTTGGGGAGCAATTTAGTCACCCACCCTAGAGGGTCTAGAAGGAGTAGGCACCTGCAGAGTCTATTACAACCATGTCGACTACTGGAGGTTATGTTTAGAAAAATGCCCTATTTTTTTCTCTATTTTGGGAACTTTCGTTTATGGGACACTGGTTTCTAAGAGCATAATTTGGGTATTGGCCTAGTACTTTCACCAGGTTGTTTGTGAGGGATTCTCAACCATCTTTCCTATTTGTAATATAACGTTCGATTATTAAAAAAAAAAAAAAAAAAAGTCGTCTTTCGCCACACATTTCAGAATTCGATGTGGTAAGTTGTATCGCGACCGCCTTCTTTTTGAACCCGTTCTCTCGGCATGTCCGATACTTGAATCCACTCGCCTCAAAGCGTTGTATGCAACGACAGTCGCTGTACAACATGCGAGGCCAGAGACCGAGTCTCAACAATCACAAATCCGGCGTTCACGATTTAAGAACACCATGATGCGAGAGGGAAGTGATAATCTCATATGATGAGCGCCGACGGCTTCCTATACGTCCCACTCACATATACGTGGTCTTTCTTCGGTGTACAGTAAATGACGCGTATGCGGAGGTACAAGAAGTCGACACCCCGATGGGTTCGTATGGTCAGTCCACATGGCATACGCACAACTACTTATCCGATACAATCAAAGTGTCTCGCTCATTCCGCTAAAGGATCGGTTAAGGAAGAAGTACTTCTTAAGAAAAAGAGGAAGCAACAATGAACGTTGAATTTCATATCAATCAGTTAGTCCTTCAGATAAAGGGAGAATCAAAACCTGATCACACCGATTACATTGCATATAACAGTAGAATTTGCACAAGGAGACATTCCCTACTAGCCTTTTCCTGTTTGACGGAGTTCGTCGAGCGAAACCTCGAACGCAAAGGGGGAGACAAGGAGAAACCAGACGCATATAAACAGATATTGTGAAAATATTCTTGGGACCCACATGCGATAAGGAGGAAAAGGAAAGGGAAAAAAACAATTCATTCACGCATTTCGTTATTCAAAGGAAATCTCAGCAAACATCCGCGAAGAACCTCAGACACAAGGACGAACGTTCCTCATTAGCCTCATAAGTTTGCAATCGCTTGTATAACGAGATCCGAATGAGAAGGGACGAAAAGGTTTATTTTGTAACAGATCGGGACCCATTGGTACCAGGTCTCGGTCGGAGGTGAGGACCTGAATCGGATTATGGCGAACTACGCAGACGGAACAGTCACTGGGCCAAGGACATATGCGGTACTGGGACTGTACCGGGATGTGCTACTGGTACAACTATTGGACTAGGAGACTACTGGTATCGGCCCTGTATTGACACTAGAACTGCAGCGGTGGCTGATTGTCAGTATGGCAACTGTACCAGGTCTGGATCTGCACCACAAGAGTCGTTGTTGGTCCCGTTGTTGGTACTATTGGTATCGGAGCAAAGGTCTAATCACCGGACCTGGATTTATAGTTCGGGTTAGTAGTTGGTACCGAGTCAGCAGGTGGTACTGGGCCAGTGGTCGGTACCCATTTGTTTTTGGGCATGGGCCTGCGCATCCGGGGACCAGTCCAGCTGGCAGTTTAAGGGAGCAGCCTGTTGG